GGAAGCACTTAGGTAACATGATTTCACTGTTGTAACATTGGATCTATACTTTGCTACACAAGGGTAAGTAGATATAACTGTCTGGAGGAACTTGCTACAATGTTTGCTGGGATTGTTCCTTTCTTTGTAGTTTTCTGTCATTCTTATAAAATCAAAATAATTAAATGAAAAATGAAAGTAAAGCCCACAGAAAATGGTCAATAAATAAAAAAAATCATGAAGATCATGAAGTTCTAGAGGTCTAAGTTAAGAGATACTAGGCTTGGGCTGGGCTTGGTGGTTCACACCTATAATCCCAGCACTTTGGGAGGCTGAGGTGGATGGATCACTTGAGGTCAGAAATTCGAGACCAGCCTGGCCAACATGGTGCAACCATGTATCTACTAATAATATGAAAATTAGCCAGGTGTAGTGGCACATTCCTGTAATCCCAACTACTTGGGAGGCTGAGGGAAGAAAATTGCTTGCACTTGGACAGTGGAGGTTGCAGTGAGCAGAAATGGTGCCATTGCACTCCAGTCTGGGCGACAGAGCAAGACTGTCAAAAAAAAAAAAAAAAAAAAAAAAAAGAGGGAGATGAGGCTTACATTCCATAGGCTGGAAATTTACCTAAGCAGTAAGTCAGAACTCAGCTGCCTCCCTCCCTTCTCTGCGTCCCAGTTTCTCCATCAGGACAAGATGTTTGGACCTACTGGTCTGTAAGGGCCCTTCCAGATCTGCTCTGCCTGCAGGACATCTACTGTGGGCCACAATCTGTGGCCCTCCCTAAGGCCCCAGCTCACCGTGCTCCTCCCTCTCTGCCGCTGCTTCCTCCTCTTCCTGGCGCTTTGCCTGTTCCTCTTGTGCCCGCTGCCTCTCCAGTTTTTTCGTCAGCTTGAGATCCTTCCATTTCTTTTTCTCCTCTTTCTCTAGATAAGAGAACATCCCGATTGGCGGAGGAGATAGTTCCCACTGATTGGCTCAGCCTGGACTCTGCAGAGCTGCTGGGTAAGCAGCCAGAGGGCAGCAAGGGGGCCTCCCCAGGGCTCCCGGCCCCTGCCTCCCAACTTTGGGTGCTGTAGGACCCAGAGGGGACACAGTAGGTGTCTTTCTCCAAGGTGTGACTGAGCACTGCTGAGAGTGGTCTATGGGAAGGGTGGGCGCAGATACTCCCCACCCTTACTTACTCTGTTGCTTCCATTTTCGCCACTCAATCCTTTGGCCGTGTTCACCCTGGAGAAGGAGTGGGAGGAGGACTGTGTCTGAGGCTGGTCTCACCTGGAGGGGGTCCGCTTGCTCCTACACAGCCAGCCCCTCCACATGGGGCGATAAGGAAGCCAAGGAACCTCTGCAAACTGCTGCCCCAGAAAGCGGCAGGAGGGCAGGGACCCGCTGTATCGCCAGTGCCTGGAACCCGGCCTGGCACACAGAAAGCACTCAAGAAACTGTCGAATGAGTTCCCATAGAAAAGAAAACTGAGGCTCAGGGGACAGGACTACCCACAGTCGCCCTGGAAGTCAGAAGACATAGGCAAGAAAGGGCTCTGGATTCAAGATTGCGAGCTGAGTCCCGCCTCCGTAATCCAGCAGGGGCCAGGGAGCCCTTGGGGGCTCCGGAGAGGACACCGGCGCTGTTTCCATCCCGCAGCGGCTCACGCGGCATCTTCAGGGCTTCCTTCCGGCCTGGGATCAGCGGGAAGCAGGAAGCAGAAGGCGCGGCCCGGCCCCGGCGCAGGCCCCCACGCCGCTGGCTGTCACGCCTCCACCCTGTTGCCCCGCACGAGATCCCGCTGCCCGCACTTACCGGACCGCACGGGCGCTTTGTCCTGCGCTCCGCCATGTTCCGCGCAGACCGTCGGCCACGCCCCTGCCAATGAGACTCTCCTCTTCCGGCCACACCTCCTTCAAGCTATCCAATCGGAGAACCAATGCTCACGGGGGCGTGGCCTGGGTGCCTGGCGGCTGCAGGAGTGTGTAGGCTGTAGGGGTTGGGCGGAGTAGGTGCCCAAATGGTTGGCATTGCGGTTACTATCCTGAACCTTGGATGGCTCAGAGCCCTCCTCCGAGTTCGGACAATTACAACACTTAGACCTCTGAGTAGTTTGTTTTTAAAATTATTTTTTTGAGACAGGGTGTTGATATGTTGCCGAGGCTGGTTCCACAGGCATGCACCACCACGCCGGGCTTCCGTAAGGCTTTATACATGGGGACCCTCGGGCCTTGAACTGCAGTGTGATTCAGAGCTGAAAATGAGATAATTTAATCCAGGTTTCTTATAGATTGTTCATGTACAGTTTTTTGTTTGTATGAGACAGAGTCTCGCTCCATCGCCCAGGCTGGAGTGCCATGGCGTGATCTCAACTTACTGCAATCTCCGTCTCCTGGGTTCAAGCAATTCTCCTGCCTCAGCCTCCCAAGTAGCTGAGATTACAGGCGCGCACCACCATGCTCAGCTATTTTGTGTGTGTGTGTTTTTAGTAGAGACGGGGTTTCGCCATGTCGGCCAGCCTAGTGGAACTCCTGACCTCAGTGATCCACCCGCCTTGGCCTCTCAAAGTGCTGGGATTACAGGCATGAATCACCTCACCGGGCCTCTTTCTCTTTTAATTGACAGACTTTATATTAGTTGGGAATACAAGTGTGAGCCACAATGCACACCTTTTTTGTGTGTGCACGGTAGTGTCTCACTATGTTGCCAGGGCTGCTCTCGAACTCGGGTTCAAGCAGTCCCCCAACTTGGCTTCCCAAAGTGCTGAGATTACAGAAGTGAGCCATTAATGACTTTTTTTTTTTTTTTTTTTTTTTTGAGAGGGAATCTTGCCCTGTTGCCCATGCTGGAGTGCAGTGGTGCAGTGCTGGCTCACTGCAACCTCAGCCTCCCAAGTTCAAGCAATTCTAGTGCCTCAGCCTCCCAAGTAGTAGCTGAGATTACAGGTGTGTGTCACCATGCCCAGCTAATTTTTGTATTTTTAGTAGAGATGGGGCCCGGCTGGTCTCTAACTCCTGCTATGTTGGCCAGGCTGGTCTCCAACTTCTGGCCTCAGGAGAGCCTCCTGCCCCAGCCTCCCAAAGTACTGGGATTACAGGCGTGAGCCACCAGGCCTGGCCCAATTTAGATCTTAAACTAAATTTGTTGTGATTTTTTTTGGACAGGTTTATTTTGTAAGCATGACTAAGACATTGGCCACGTGAGAAAAAAAAAAAAAACACACAAAAAAAACCCCTCCAAAACAACAAGAAAAAGATATGGACCATGTAATTAGGCTCAAAGTCTAGTCCTTCACCCCCCACTCCCCCCCGGAGCCAGAGATGAACGGGGTGATGGGCTAACATTTCTGACCTGTAAGTACACAGTGAGGAGCAGTTCCATGTGACTAAGAAGACATGCCTATCATCCAGAGACTCCAACGATTTTAGGAATTTTTTTTTTTTTTTTTTGAGACGGAGTTTCGCTCTTGTTACCCAGGATGGAGTGCAATGGTTCAATCTCGGCTCACCGAAACCTCCACCTCCTAGGTTCAGGCAATTCTCCTGCCTCAGCCTCTTGAGTAGCTGGGATTACAGGCATACGCTGCCATGCCCAGCTAATTTTTTTTTGTATTTTTAGTAGAGACGGGGTTTCACCATGTTGACCAGGATGATCTTGATCTCTTGACCTCATGATCCACCCACCTCAGCCTCCCAGAGTGCTGGGATTACAGGTTTGAGCCACTGCGCCCGGCCAGGAATTCTTATTTTTTTGAGACAGAGTCTTGCTCTGTCTCGTAGGCTGGAGTGCAATGGTGCAATGTTGGCTCATTGCAACCTCTGCCTCCCAGGTTCAGTAGATTTTCCTGCCTCAGCCTCCTGAGTATCTGGGATTACAGGTGTGCACCACTCCCAGCTATTTTTTTTTTTTTTTTTTTTGTATTTTTTGTAGAGACAAGGTTTCACCATATTGACCAGGATGGTCTTGAATTCCTGACCGTGTGATCTGCCTGCCTTGGCCTCCCAAAGTGTTGGGATTACAGGTGTGAGCCACTGTGATCAGCCAAGGAATTCTTTACTAAGGGCAAAGACCAAATGTGTATTTTATTATATGATATATTCCTATCAGTTAAATGTATGATATGAGCCAAACCCATGTGCTTGCTATGCAAATGCAACTTCAAGGTAAGGCCTCTAATACCACCTTCCCAAGGAATTCAGGAGCTACCACCGTTAGCCAGTGAGACACACACTGAGCCAGCTAGAAGGCCTGGGCACATCACTTCTCCTTACCTTCAGAAAGCCTTCCTCACTTGTCAACTAGAGATAACTCAGGTCTCAGTCTCAGAGGATTAAGGTGATGGGCATCCTGGCAGATAGGGCTTGCACAATCAACATTCATTCCTCCTCCTCCTGCAAGTTATGTAAGTCTGTGGTCCTCCTGGCACTCACTGTGCTATTCTCTTACCCCTGTGGGAATGTCCATGTCTTTCTTGTCACAAGCCCAATCCCCCACAACACACACACGACACCCCTACCCCAGCCACCACACCCAGTAACTGCTACCATCAGATTAATATCAGACGCCAAGTTTGGTGGTTCATGCTTGTAATCCCGGCACATTGGAAGACCAAAGCAGGCAGATGACGTGAGATCAGGAGTTTGATACCAGCCTGTTCAACGTGGGGAAACCCCCTCTCCAAAAAAACACAAAAATTAGCTGGGCGTGGTGGCACGTGCTTGTAGTCCCAGCTGCTCAGGAGGCTGAGGCAGGAGAATGGTTTGAATCTGGGAGGTGGAGCTTGCAGCGAGCCAAGCATGCACCACTGCACTCCAGCCTGGGTGACAGAACGAGATTCGGCCTCAAAAAAAAGATTAATAGTGAGGAATTAATTTGGGGGTCTTGGGTTCTAGGCTTGGTTGTGCCACTAACTATGTGACTACAGAAACCATTTGTACAAAGTTGGGGGGTGTCTGACGTTTTCCTGGGCATTTTTATCAAGTTACATCAGCCATCAGCATGCGTGTGAAGCAGAGAGAAGCCATCAGTAAGGATTCTAATAACTTAAACATTTTATTATGGATGAAAAGGACTCAAGCCTACAGGCAACTTCCAAGGCCAAGATAAGCCAGGAAAGGTGAGGTTGTGCCTGAGTGTTAGCAGGGCTGCGATGTGATCAATACATGGTGGGACTCTGCCCTCCGGACTCAGCCAAGCCTGGAGAGTCCAGAAGCAACCCAAGACCCTACAGGGAACCCACCTATGGAGGCGCAGGGAGAGGCCCTGGTCGGGTTGACCCTCACTTCTCAGACAGGAGGCACTTGTTCCCTACGACGAAGACAGGCGGCTCCCTCCCAGGACGTTATGTGTCATAAAGAGGTTTCCCGATACTGTCTTCCCCAACCTGGGCATTTGGGTGTCTGTCTTTGTCCATGTTTCAGCCATGCCCATGGACAAAGACAGACACCCAAAGAGCATCTCTGTGGAGATGTGGGGATGTCAGGGCCAACAGCATGACTTCAGGGCTAGAGCTCCGCCTTCCACTTCCGCAGCTTCTCATCCATGGCCTGGAGCGTGGCTTCATCCTGCACCAACACAGAATGGTCCGACCCTCTCCCCAGGTGCCCAGGGGGCCTTGGGAAGCTCTGTGAGGTCTTTCCTCCCCCAGTCCCGCCCTTTACCTTCACAAAACAGAAGCGGATATAGTGGTCAAAGTGCTTCTTATGTGGCACACTACAGAAGATGGAGACAGGGATGGCCAGCAAGCCCTGGGGAGGAGGAAGGACATGTCTCAACACGGCCTCATGGCCAAGCAGGCCTCAGCTCCAGCGGGACAGAGAGGTTCCCACGAACAACTGGGGAACAATAGTTGGCTCCAACCCAGCACCGAGTGCTGCATCAAAGTCAGAGGGAAAGGCCGGACGTGGCGGCCTGTGATCCCAGCACTGTGGGAGGCCGAGGCAAGTGGATCGCCTGAGGTCAGGAGTTTGAGCAGCCTGGCCAACATGGGGAAACCCCGTCTCTACTAAGAATACAAAAAGTAGCTGGGTGTTGTGGTGTATGCCTGTAATCCCAGCTACTTGGGAAACTGAGGCAGGAGAATCGCTTGAACCTGGAGGGGTGGAGATTGCAGTAAGCTGAGATCAGGCCATATCACTTCAGCCTGGGCAAAAGAGCAAAACTCCTTCTCAAAGACAAAAAACAGAAAACAAAAAACCCCCAGAAAGTCAGGGGAAAAGAATCCCAGAGTGTCATTCCAAGTCCCTCCCTGGTGTATAGAAAGCAGATGGAAGCTGAGAGAGGGAGAATCATGGAGCAGGTCAAAGCAGAGCCAGAGAAGAACTAATCCTTAAGCTTTACAGTCATACATGGAACCTGGATGGACCTGAGTTCATGGGCCAGCTCCTCACTGTACACATGGATGGAGACCCAATGAGACAGGAAATCCTGCCAGCCCACACCCCATCACTTTGCAAGTTAGAAACAGGTTCCTCTGGCTGGGCATGGTGGCTCACGCCTGTAATCTCACACTTTGGGAGGCCAAGGGGAGCTTGGATCACCTGAGTTAGGAGTTTGAGACCAGTCTGACCAACATGGTGAAAGCCCGTCTCTACTAAAAACACAAAAATTAGCCAGGTGTGGTGACGTGTGCCTGTAATCCCTGCTACCTGGGGGCTAAGGAAGGAGAATCGCTTGAACCCTGGAGGTGAAGGTTGCAGTGAGCCAAGATCGCATCACTGCACTCCAGCCTGGGCAACAGAGTGAGACTCTGTCTCAAGAAAAAAAAAAAAAAAGAGAAAGAAACAGGCTCCTCATTGTTTGAAGTGGATGCAACCCTGCTCCAGGGTTCATGGCAGAGGCTGCACTAGGATCTGGCCCAAGAGCCTCTTGGCTGGGAACCCTTGGGCAGCAGACGACCTGTGAAACCATACATGGCAGCCCAGCAGTGGCCCAGCCCACCTTGCTCTTGATCATCCACTTGATGAAGCGGCTGTCATAGGGCTCATCCACAGCTCCAGGCAGGTCAGGCATCTTCCTCTCTGGGAGACAGAGGCCACACTGAGCCCCCTGCAGCCTCCGGCCCCTGCACCCTGCCCAGACCGGCCAGTCTCACTCACTGAAGTCTGAGATGTCTGTGACGAGGAAGTAGCTGCCCTGGGGGATGACAGGCTTCAGGCCCACCGACTGTAGGCTGCGGATCATGTGATCACGGCAGCGTTGCATGGCCTGCGGGAACTGCACGAAGTAGCTGCTGGGTTGGCTGAAGAGCAGCTGCTCCCGCTCAAAGCTCTTGGCTACTGCGGCCTAGGCACGGCAGACACGCAGATAGATCAGCTGTTCCCTGATGCGGGGGCCAGCCAGGGCGCTTTTGTTGTCCCCCTACCCCGCCATGAGGTCTCCTACCTGGCTCTGTGTGGGGCAGTGGAAGATGGAGTTCTGGTGCACAGTCCGCAGGTGCTTCATGATATGATCTGGACCCAGGACCCAGCCCACCTGGAAGAGGAACACCGGTAGGGGGTGAGGACCTTCCAGACCCGGCTTCAGCCTTCCTCACTCCTAGGACCACCTCACCTGCCAGGGATCTTGCAGAGGGCAGTGACCTCCCACCTTTAGCAACTCACCTTCCAGCCAGTGGCACTAAAGGTCTTGCCGGCGCTGCCAATGGTCAGGGTCCGTTCCCACATGCCAGGGAGGCTGGCTGCCCAAGGACAAACAGAGCAGCTGCTGAGATGGGGGTGAGGGGGGAAGGGGAGGGTGGTGGCTGGGGCCCCAGTGGACACACATAGGCTCTTGACATCCTGGATCCTCTACACACTAAGCTATTTGCAGGATTTCTTTTTCTTTCTTTCTTTCTTTCCTTCCTTCCCTCCCTCCCTCCCTCCCTCCCTCCCTCCCTCCCTCCTCCCTCCCTCCCTCCTCCCTCCCTCACTCCCTCCCTCCCTCCTTCTCTCCCTCCCTCCCTCCCTCCCTCTTTCTCTCTCTCTCTCTCTTTCTTTCTTTCTTTCTTTTTGAGCAGTCTCACTCTGTTGCCCAGGCAGGAGTGCAATGGTGCCATCTCGGCTCACTGCAACCTCTGCCTCCTGGGTTCAAGTGATCTTCCTACCTCAGCTTCCCAAGTAGCTGGGACTACAGGCACGCGCCACCATGCCCAGCTAATTTTTGCATTTTTAATAGAGACAGGGCTTTGCCCTGTTGGTCAGACTGGTGTTGAACTCCTGACCTCAAGTGATCTGCCAGCCTCAGCCTCAGCCTCTGAGAGTCCTGGGATTACAGGCCTGAGCCACTGCACCTTGCTTAGGATTTCTTGATCTCATCCTTTCCACAACCAAGGAGGCAGGCGCTATTGTGATCCTGTGTACTCTGGGAGGCAAAGGTCACAGGATCTGCAGGGCTCCAGAATGCTGGGTTCTAACTACCAGGCCTGTGCTGACTCTCAAGTGGGGTCAAGTCCCTGCCACCAATGTGCAGGGAAGGGGCTGTGGGCAGGCTCAGCTCACCAATGCTGATGTGCTGGTGCCCATCGTAGACCAGCCACTGGTAGACTTCATCAGTGATACACACCACGTCATGCTGCTGGCACAGGCTGGCCACCAGCTCCAGCTCTTCCTTGGAGAACACCTGCAGAGGCCCAAGGAGAGCACAGACCTGCAGCTGAGACCATCCCCAAACACAGAGGCCTACTCAGAGAAGTTAAAGAATACAGCTGCAGACAGGTGCGGTGGCTCATGCCTGTAATACCAACACTTTGGGAGGCTGAGGTGGGTGGACCTCAAGTCAGGAGCTTGAGACCAGCCTGGCCAACATGGTGAAACCCTGTCTCTACTAAAAATACAAAAATTAGCTGGGTGTGGTGGCAGGTGCCTATAATCCCAGCTACTCGGGAGGCTGAGGCAGGAGAATTGCTTGAACTCAGGAGGCGCAGGTTGCAGTGAGCCAAGAGCATGCCACTGCACTGTAGCCTGGGAGACAGAGTGAGACTCTGTCTCAAAAAAATTAATAAATAGCGAATACAGCTGGGCCCAGTGCTAAGGGCTGTTTCGCACCATCCCATTGGATCCCTGCAACATTGACCCCATGAAGTCAGTTTTCTCAGGTTCCCATATTACAGATGAGATACTTTGAGAGGCACAGTCAGTATTCCAGGGTCCCTGGGAAGTGATGGGGGCTCCCAGCCCTCAGGCCTTCCCTGGGGATTCCTGCCCCTCCTCCCTGGACCTCTGGAGCCTTGGTCCTCAGAGCTCATTGTGCGTGGCCCTCCCACACACAAATGAAGAAACGGAGGCCCCACAGCAGCAGCTCAGTAACAATGCAGGAGACGTGACCAGGTCTGCAGGGGTGATGGAGGGAGGTCTTTCCAGTACCTTGCCCATGGGGTTGCTGGGGGTGTTGAGGACTAGGGCTTTGGTGCGTGATGTGAATTTGCTGGCCAGCTCTGTGGGGTCCAGCTGCCAGTTGCTGCTGGAACCCAGTTCTCCGTTCTGGCTGGGACTCTGCAAGAGCAGGTGGCAGGGGGTGGCACCACTTACCCACCTGACATGCAGTTCCTCCCCCAGCATCTGTCCCCACCTTCCCTCCCCTCTGCCCTCTCAGCTTAGGGGAACTGGCTTCCTTCACTTCCTTCCCCCTCTCCCAACTCTCAGAGTCCAACTCAGCCCATGCCTTGGATCCCTCTGCCCATCCACCCTCCTCCCAGCATCCTTACCGGCTTCAGGGACACAAACACAGGGCGACCCCCTGCCATCAATGTCATGGGCTCGTAGCAGTCAAAAAAGGGTTCGATGATGATGACCTGATACAAGGGTCAAATCAGCTGGAGGCAGCATGGCCCTGACTTCTTGCTCCCACTCAGCCCACGTCTTGCCCACTCACCTCATCTCCTTCGTCCACCAGCGCCTGGAAGGCTGTGAACAGGGCCCCGTAGCCACCAACGGTCACCAGCACATTCCTAAGCGGGTCCATCTCCTGACCCAGCAGCTTCCCAAAGAAACTTGCCAGGATCTTCGTCAGTGGTGGGTAACCCTGCCAGGACAGCAGGGGTCAACTGCTCAGCTCATCCTGGGCCCATCCTCCAGCCCAGCTGTACCCAGGCAATTCTAGCACCTTCCAGCAGAAGGCCTGGGGGCAAAGTCAGCTACTGATAGCCTGGGCCCCAGGGGAAGTGGAATAGTTAGGCTTTCAACACTCTGGATTCCTCTACCCACCAAGTTATTTGTAGGATTTCTTTTTTTCTTTTCTTTCTTTTTTTTTTTTGAGACGGAGTTTCGCTGTTGTTACCCAGACTGGAGTGCAATGGCGCAATCTCAGCTCACTGCAACCTCCGCTTTCTGGGTTCAAGCAATTCTCCTGCCTCAGCCTCCCAAGTAGCTGGGACTACAGGCGCGCACCACCACGCCCAGCTAATTTTTGTATTTTTAGTAGAGACGGGGTTTCACCTTGTTGACCAGTATGGTCTCGATCTCTTGACCTAGTGATCCACCAGCCTTGGCCTCCCAAAGTGCTGGGATTATAGGCGTGAGCCACCCTGCCCAGCCTTGTTTGTAGGATTTCTTTGATCTCATCCTCTCAACAACCCAGAGGCAGGTGCTGTTGTGATCTTGTGTACTCTGGCAGGTAAAGGCCACACAATCTGTATGGCCCCCAGACTCTAGGGTCCTAACCACCAGGCTGCGCTGACTCAAATATCCAGTGCTAAGCTCTTCCATCTCCTCCAGCAGCATTTGCCATAGGGCCTGTTCTATGCCAGGCCTGGAGCCAGGGCGGGGATTTAGCAAAGAACCAGAGGAAGTGCTTGCCTCTGTGAACCTCAGCCTGAGAGCCCCTGAGGCAGTAGAAACTCTCCACTATCCACATCTGTAAGTTTGTGCCCACCTGATCCTCCCAGTGGCTTTGCAGGAGAGGCTTTTTTTTTTTTGAGATAAAGTTTCACTCTTGTCGCCTTGTCGCCCAGGTTTCAGTCCAATGGTGTGATATCGGCTCATTGAAACCTCTACCTCCCAGGTTCAAGCGATTCTTCTGCCTCAGCCTCCTGAGTAGCTGGGAGTACAGGCACATGCCACCAAACCCGGCTAATTTTTTTATTTTTAGTAGAGATGGAGTTTCACCATGTCAGCTAGGCTGGTCTTGAACTCCTGACCTCAGATGATCCGTCCGCCTCGGCCTCCCAAAGTGCTGGCACTACAGGCATGAGCCACCACACCCAGCCTTTTCTGAGACAGGGTCTCACTCATGTTGCCCAGGCCGGAATGCAGTGGTACAATGCAGTTCACTGTAACCTCTGCCTCCTGGGTTCAAGCAATTCTCCTGCCTCAGCCTCCCAAGTAGCTGGGACTATAGGCATGCCCTGTCTCTATTTGTTGTTGTTGCCCAGGCTGGAGTGCAGTGGTGCGCTGCAACCTCTGCCTCCCAGGTGCAAGGGATTCTTGTGCCTCAGCCTCTCAAGTAGCTGGGATTACAGGCAGGTGCCACCACGCCTGGCTAATTCTTTTGTATTTTTAGTAGAGACAGGTTTCACCACGTGGGGTTGGCTGGTCTCCAACTCCTGACCTCAGGTGATCCGCCTGCCTCTCAGCCTCCTAAAGTGCTGGGATTATAGGTGTGAGTCACCACACCCAGCCCTTGTCTCTTTTTAAAAAAAAAATTAAAAAAAGAAGAAAAGAAAAAGCAGCAAGAAAAAGACACATACCCAAATGAATTTTTTTCAGCCCAACAAACCCAAGAATAATTTTTTTTTTTTTAAACCAAAGAAGGAACTTTCCAACCAGCTCTGAGACCAGCCTATTGAGTAAACCTTACTGGAGGGCAATTATTTACTTATTTATTTGTGAGACAGGGTCTCATTATGTTGCACTGGCCTCAAACTCCTGGGCTCAAGCGATCTTCCTGCCTCAGCTTCCCGTGTAGCTGGGATTATAGGCACACACTGCTTCTTAACAATACCCACCTATTATATTTATAAATATTTATGGCCTTTCATTCACTAGTTTTACTTCTAGGAATTTATCTTAGAAAAATACATGTATATACAAAGATGTCCACACAGGGATATTCACCATGGCACTGTTCATGACACTGATCGTGGAAGCAGTCCATCAGTGCAGTACTGCTTAATAAATTATGGCACATCTAGGCAACAGAACAGTATGCAGCCATTAAAAAGAATGAGGGCATGGTGGCTCATGCCTGTAATCCCAGCACTTTTTGAGGCCAACGTGGCAGGATCACTCAAGCCCAGGAGTTTCAGAAGAGCCTGGGCAACATGGTGAAACCCTGTCCCTACAAAAAATAGCCCCCAAAAATGAGCTGGGCATGGTGGCCCACCCCTGTAGTCCCAGCAACTCTGGAGGCTGAGGTGGGTGGATCACATGAGCCCCAGGAAATGGCAAATCATGTGAACCCCAAGAGGTAGAGGCTGCAGTGAGCCAGGATCATGTCATTACACTCTAGCCTAGGTGACAAGATGAGACCCTGCTTCAAAAATAAATAAATAAATAAATAAATATTAGCTGGGCATGGTGACACACACCTGTAGTCCCAGTTACTCGAGAGGCTGAGGTGGGAGGACCACTTGAGCCTGGCAGGGTTGAGGCTGCAGTGGACCATGATGGCGCCACTGCACTCCAGCCTGGATAACAGAGTGAGACACTGTCTCAAAAGAGAAAAAAGAAGAACCATTGTTCTAATCCAAGCCTTGGATTAGATGGATTAGCATTGGATTTAGTATGTGGTCCTTTCCAGAAAAAGTTTGGATTTACAGTATAATCCAATCAGTAGCTCATCTTCCAGGACTTGATTTCAGTGTCACCTCCTCCAGGAAGTCTTCACGCATCTCCCCAGCCCCCTCCCCAGGTTTCATTCCCTCCTTACTCCCACAATATCCCATCCTCCTCCATCACAGCATGTATCAACTGCCTGTCATTACTTGTTTCTTGTCTGCCATCCTCACTAGACCATGAGGCACAGGCTCTGGGACAGAGGACAAGCTCAGTAAACACTGAACTATGGTCAGACAGAATCCCCTGGCTCTGACACCGTGTGGGATTGATGTCCAGAAGGCCCTGCCCCCTTCCTCCCCCAGTGCCTCCAGGAGAGACGGAGAGACTCACAAACGCCTTGGTGTACTGGTTGAGCATGAAGTCTCCGCTCACTGCGTGCTGAAAGGCTTTCATGGCGAAGTCTGGGGGCGGGAAATCAGGGAAGCCCTGGCCTAAGTTCACGACGTCATGATCACTCGCCAGTTTGACAAACTCCACCCTGGGTGACAAATGGAGAATCAGTACAGCTCACCATCCTGACCTGGATTTTGGCCTGTTTAGAAAAACTGGACAACTGGCCAGTTTACAGGCTCATGCCTGTAATCCCAGCACTTTGGGAGGCAAAGGTGGGCAGATCTCTTGAGGTAAGGAGTTCGAGACCAGCCTGGCCAACATGGTGAAACTCTGTCTATATTAAAAATACAAAAATTAGGCCGGGCGTGGTGGCTCAAGCCTGTAATCCCAGCACTTTGGGAGGCCGAGGCGGGTGGATCACGAGGTCAAGAGATCGAGACCATCCTGGTCAACAAGGTGAAACCCCATCTCTACTAAAAATACAAAAAATTAGCTGGGCATGGTGGCGCGTGCCTGTGATCCCAGCTACTCGGGAGGCTGAGGCAGGAGAATTGCCTGAACCCAGGAGGCGGAGGTTGCAGTGAGCCAAGATCGCACCATTGCACTCCAGCCTGGGTAAAAAGAGTGAAACTCTGTCTCCAAAAAAAAAAAAAAAAAAAAAATTAGCCAGGTATGGTGGCCATCCCTGAGTTACTGTAAACCCAGGGATGGCCAACCCATGCCCAGGGGGAAACCCACACACCTTCCCAGCCCAGCTGGCTCACCAGGGGTTGTGGTCGATCCCGTCCAGCCTTCGGGCCTGCAGCTGTTTGGCCATGGTGAGCTGGAGACCAACAAGTGCAAGGTCAGAGATGGAATCTGTCTGGGGGCCGAGGCTGCAACTCGAGCATGGGAGGGCCGGCTGCTTTTAGGCCACAGCCCCACCCTGTCTGCTCCCAGGGAGGAGGCAGAGATCAGAGCTTGCAGGAGGTAGGGCAGGTTTCTGCCCCCTCTCAAGCCTGTTACCCTCCAAACCCCAGCCTGGCTCCTCCCCACTCCAGCAGCCCCCACCTCTCCAACCTGCAGGGCCGCCTGGCGCCGACCCAGTGGAGGCTTCCAGCCCTGGCTCCATGTGTCCTGAGATAGAGCCTGACTTGGCCAGGTTAAAGTCTGACTCAGGACGGGCTGAGGGTTAAGAAAGGGGAGCAGGAGGTGGGCGGGGAGGGAAGGTAATGGCAACAGGGACAGCAGCAGCCTCCACTTACAGAGGTCTTGCTAAGTATATCCATTTAATTCCCAGAATGACCTGGCCAGGCCTATCTTATCAATGAGAAAACAGAAGGTGGAAAACAGGCTGGAGGGTGCAGGAGGGGAAGTGATGTGTTCAAGGCCACACAACAAACACTCAGATTTAGGCCTGTTGGACCCAAGGCCAGGTTCTAACTCTGAGGGAGGCGCTAATCCAGTCCTGGGAGGCTCCCAGGGTCCTGGATCCTGGCTCACCCCTCCCCTCCTGGTGTTCCTCCCAGGCCAGCTCCCTCCTCAGCCACGGATGTGCAGAAACTGGCCGGGGTCCAGGTGTGGTGGCTCACACCTGTAATCCCAGCACTTTGGGAGGCTTGGGCAGGCAGATCCCCTGAAATCAGGAGTTCGAGATCAGGCTGGCCAACATGGTGAAACCCTGACTCTACTAAAAATATAAAAATTAGCCGGGCATGGTGGCACCCGCTTGTAATCCCAGCTACTCGGGAGGCTGAGGCAGGAGGATCGCTTGAACTCAGGAGGCAGAGGTTGCAGTGAGCCAAGAACACACCACTGCACTCCAGCCTGGACAACAGAGAGAAACTCAGTCTGGAAAAAAAAAAAAAAACTTAGCTGGGCATTGTGACACACACCTGTAATCCCAGCCACTCAGGAGGCTGAGGCGTGAAAATCACTTGAACCTGGGAGGCGGAGGTTGCAGTGAGCCAAGATCGTGCCACTGCACTCCAACCTGGGTGACAGAGCAAGACTCCACGAAAGAAGGAAAGGAAAGAAGGAAAGGAAAGGAAAAAGGAAAAAGGAAAGGAAAGGAAAAAAGAAACTGGCCAGGCCTCAGAGCCACCAAACTCAGGTCCTAACCTGCCTTGGCCAGGTGACCCTGGATAGGTAATTTGGCTCCTCCAGTCCTCAGAATCCCTTTAGCACCAGAGATGCATGGGCTTTGTTTGTGGTCCCTGAGGAACGGAACGTTCAGTCCCAGATGGCTGGCGGGCTGTGGAGCTGAGCATACATTCTTTCAGCCGCCTGCTGTGGCCAATAGTGAACCCTGGTTCAGGATCTTGCTCAGGCGCTCAGTTCCCACTGCACTCCCAGTGTGTGCCATAATAGTCTCCACCTAACAGATGAGGACACCGAGGCTCAAACAGACTCAGGTACCTGCTCAAGTTCAGAGGAGAAGCTGGCAAGGACCTGGTCAGGGTAGCTGCCACAGCAATCTCAACACCAGGCCCCCCTGTCCTGGAGGGGTCCTGGGGACCATCTGAATAAGGGCCAGGTCTTCCATAGCCCAGGAATCCTTCTGATGAGAGCAGTTTGCAGAGTCAGCCAGTAGGGGCTCAATAAATGTCTTGTAGTCCCAGCTACTTGGGAGGCTGAGGCAGGAGAATCGCTTGAACCTGGGAGGCAGAGGTTGCAGTGAGCCGAGATTATGTCACTGCACTCCAGCCTGGGTGACAGAGTGAGACTCCATCTCAAAAAAAAAAAAGAAAAAAAAGGTGGGCATGCTCACGCCTATAATCCCAACACTTTGGGATGCTGAGGCAAGTGGATCACCCGAGGTCAGGAGTCTGAGACCAGCCTGACCAACATGGTGAAATACACATTAGCCAGGTGTGGTGGCGTGTGCCTGTAATCCCAGTTATTCAGGAGGCTGAGGTAGGAGAATTGCTTGAACCCAGGAAGCAAAGGTTGCAGTGAGCTGAGATCACACCACTGCATTCCAGCCTCGGTGACAGCAAAATTCTGTCTCAAAAAAAACCAAAAAACAAAAGTGAAGCTGAGTCAGGGACAGCAGTGGGGTGTGGGGATCTGGGGGCAGAAGTTGGAGGGAGGGGAGTTTAGGGAGGTTGGGGTTGGGGAAGGAGTAGATGGGCACAGGGGCACAGATTAAGAGGGAGAAGAACAGAAGTAAGTGGAACTGAACGGGCTTAGGAGGGAAGTGGAAATAATCAGGAGACCCAGAAACAGGTGCTCACAGGAGCGCCCTTCACCTGTGTCCCTCAGCACTTGGGCAAATAAGGAAACGGTGCCTGTTCTTGGGCTTATGCATCATGCATTCATTCAGTTGACATTTATTGAGCCCCTACTGTGTACTGGGTCCTGGGCAGGGCACAGGGGGTCATGTGCAGCAGCACCCTACAGCACCCAAGCTGACTATTCAGATGCGGAGATACAAGTTCTAGACTAGAGAAGCAGGGGCAAGGGAGGGGCCATATTCAGACTGCAGTTAGAGAGGGCTCCCTAAAAGAGAAGGCTCATGCACAGCTTTGAAGCCAGGAACGAGCCATCCCCCAGAAGCCCCCAGCCATGCAGGCGGCAGAATATTGGGGTTAGGGCACTTACAGTCTGGTGCAAGCACCGAGTGAGTGAGGCTCCAGCCTTCCTTCCCTGAAGGGGCCCCAGCAGGCGCACAGAGATGGCTGCTGCAGTTCTGAACATGCCTCCCAGAGCCGTGGGGCACTGCAGACTTCTCCTCTAGGGGCAGAGGAGAAGGGAGGAGACAGCCCTGGCCAGAAAATGCCTCCAGGCTCAGGACTTGGGTCCCTCACACACAGCTCTAACGATAACAACAATAATACGGTCATTGCACACCCAGTGCTTTGTTGCACAATTATCTGACTGTCCTTGCAACAACCCTGTTACTCATTCACAATATACACCCCAGCAACCCAAGTGACACTTTCAAAACACAAATCACCTCTAATAAAAAAAAAAATCTAGGAAAGGATCACTGATAGCATATCATTATAGAATATCACCAAGAGCATAACCAAACATGTTCTGACTCTGGAAACACACACACCACCTGCAAATTATCCCTGCTACAAAATTATTCCTGCCCTTAATTAGATCACACCATTGAATTACTAAAGTACAGGGACAGAAGAATATGTTAAATAACACCATGGAGATGCAACCAACAAATTAAAGTAGGGCAACGGCCAGGCACGGTGGCTCATGCCTGTAATCCCAGCACTTTGGGAGTGAGGCAGGCAGATCACAAGGTCAGGAGTTCAAGACCAGCCTGGCCAACATGATGAAACCCTGTCACTACTAAAAATACAAAAATCAGCTGGGTGTGGTGGTGCATGCCTGTAATCCCAGCTACTCAGGAGGCTGAGGCAGGAGAATTGCCTGAACCCAGGAGGCGGAGGTTGCAGTGAGCGGAGATCGTGCCATTGCACTCCAGTCTGGGCAACAGAGTGAGATTCTGTCTCAAAAAAAAAAAATCAAGCAGGGCAATGTGTCTCACATCATTTTTAATCCCAGCACTTTGAGAGGACAAGGCCGGAGAATCTCTTGAGCCCAGGAGTTTGAGACCAGCCTGGACAACATGGCAAAACCCTGTCTCTACCAAAAATACAAAAATTAGCTGGGTGAGGTGGCATGCACCTGTAGAGCCAGCTACTTGGGAGGCTGAGGCAGAAGAATTGCTTGAGCCCAGGAGGCGGAGGTTTCAGTGAACTGAGATTGCACCACTGCACTCCAGCCTGGGTAACAGAGCAAAACTTTATATCAAAAAACCAAAATAAAAAAATAGGCTGGGCGTGGTGGCTCACGCCTGTAATCCCAGCACTTTGGGAGGCCAAGCCAGGCAGTTCACCTGAGGTCAGGAGTTTGAGACCAGCATGACCAATACAATGAAACCCTGTCTCTACTAAAAACACAAAAATTAGCTGGGCACGGTGGCATGCACCTCTAATCCCAGCTACTCTGAAGGCTGAGACAGGAGAATCACTTGAACCCAGGAGGCGGAGGTTGCAGTGAGCCAAGATCGTGCCATTGCACTCCAGCCTGGGCAACAAGAGTGAAACTCCATCTTGAAATAAAAAAAAGAGAGAGAGAAAGAGAAAGAATGTTTTGGGCCAGGCCCAGTGGCTCATGCATGTAATTCCAGCACTTTGGGAGGCTGAGCTGGATGGATGACTTGAGGTCAGGAGTTTGAGGCCAGACTGGCCAACATGGTGAAATCCTGTCTGTACTAAAAACACAAAAATTAGCTGAACATGGTGGTACATGCCTGTAATCCCAGCTACTCGGGAGGCTGAGACAGGAGAATCACTTGAACCTGGAAGGCTGAGGTTGCAGTGAGCTGAGACTGCACCATTGCACTCCAGCCCGGATGATGAAATGAGACTCTGTCTCAAAAAATAAACCAATCAGCCGGGCTCGGTGGCTCACGCCTGTAATCCCAGAACTTTGGGAGGCCACGGTGGGTAGATCACATGAGGTCAGGGGTTTGAGACCAGCCTGGCCAACATGGTGAAATCCCTCTTTACTAAAAATACAAAAATTCGCTGTGTGTGGTGGCACATGCCTGTAGTCCCAGCTACTTGGGAGGCTGAAAGGAGAACTGCCTGAACACAGGAGGTGGAGGTTTGCAGTGAGCCGAGATCATGCCACTGCATTCCAGCCTGGGCGACAGCAAGACTACATCTCAAAAAAAGTTACTCTTGGTCTGGTACAGTGGTTCATGCCTGCAATCCCAGCACTTGGGAATAATGAAGGGGCTGGATCACTTGAGCCCAGGAACTTGAGACCAACCAAGGCAACATGGCAAAACCCTGTCTGTACCAAAGTACCAAAAAAAAAAAAAAAAAGACGAACTGTCACTCTTGTTGCCCAGGCTGGAGTGCAATGGTGCGATCTCAGCTCACTGCAAACTCTGCCTCCGGGGTTCAAGTGATTCCCCTTTCTCAGCCTCCCAAGTAGCTGGGACTACAGGCATGTGCCACTATGCCTAGCTAGGTTTGTATTCTACCAAAAGTTGAAAAGCAGCCAGGCATGGTGGCAGATGCCTGTAGTCTCAGCTACTCAGGAGGCTGAGGTGGAAGGATCACCTGAGCCTCAGGAGGTTGAGTTTGCCCTCAGCCATGACCTCACCACTGCACTCCAGTATGGGTGATAGAGCAAGAGCCTGTCTAAAAATGTGCCCCCTTCATGAGTGGGCCTCCACTGGAGGCTTTTTTTTTTTAGAAGGAGTCTTGCTCTTGTCACTCAGGCTGGAGTGCAATGGTGTGATCTCAGCTCACTACAACCTCTGCTGGGGTTCAAGTGATTCTTCTGCCTCAGCCTCCCATGGACTTTTTAATTTTTTTTTTATGAGATAGATCTTGCTCTGTCACCCAGGCCGGAGTGCAGCAGTGCCATCATGACTCTCTGCAGCCTCCCCGACCTGGGCTCAAGCCATCCTCCCACCTCATCCTCCAGAGTAGCTGGGACTAAAGTGTTTGCCACCACGCCTGGCTAATGTTTTTCTTTTTTGTAGAGATAGGATCTTGCTATGTTGCCCAGGCTGGTCTAGCACTCCTGGGCTCAAGTGATCCTCCTACCTTAGCCTCCCAAAGTCCTGGCATTTCAGCGGTGAGCCACCTTCCCCAGCCAGTTTTTAACTCTCAAATTTGTATTAGGGTTCTCTGAAGAGATAGAACCAATATGATGGCTAGACGATTGAGATGAGAGGGGATTTATAGGGAAATTGGCTCATGGAATTAACGGAGGCTGAGAAGTCCCATGACAGACCATCTGTAGGGCTGCAGTAGCGTGGCTCAGCCCAAGTCTGCGAGCCTTAGAACCAGGGAGCCATTGGGGTAATTCTCAGTCTGAGGCTGAAGAGTCTACAGTTTTGATATCCAAAGGGCAGGAGGAGAAGAATGTCCCAGCTCCAGGAGAGAGAGGAAAATCTTTTCCCTGTTTTTGTTTTCTCCAAGTCGTGAACCAATGGCATGGTGCCACCCACATTGAGGGTGGATCTTCCCCACTCAGTCCACCGACTCCCACACCAATCTCCTCCAGAAACACACCACAGGCAAACCTAGGAGTCATGCTTCACCAGTCTCTAGGTATTCCTTGCTGCAGTCCAGCACCACCTAACATGAACCAGGAGCACACATCCACACTGCCAGCCATTCATCAGCTGCAGTTCACGTTTTCCCACCCAGGTACTGATTTGAGGGAAGGTTTCTGCTCTGGCAAATCATAATTCTCTGTATCTACCTATCTTTCTTTTTTTTTTTTTTAGACAGAATCTTGCTCTGCTCTGTCGCCAGGTGCCAAGCTGGAGTGTAGTGGCGCAATCTCAGCTCACTGCAATTTCCGCCTCCTGGGTTCAAGCAATTCTCCTGCCTCAGCCTCCTGAGTAGCTGTGACTACAGGTGTGCACCACCATGCCCAGCTAATTTTTGTATCTTTTAGTTAGAGACGGGGTTTCACCATTTTGGCCAGGATGGCCTCAATCTCTTGACCTCGTGATCCGCCCGCCTCGGCCTCCCAAAATGCTGGGATTAGAGGCAGGAGCCACCGTGCTTGGCCTGTATCTACCTTTCAGACTCTCCAGTTTGGGAGCAGCAGATTACCCTGTGACCTCTTCTTCTGATGAATTGAAAAAGAGCTGCTGGTTTTTCAGTTTATTCAGCTTCTCCCAGGCTGGAGAGTGCAATGGTGTGATCTTGGCTCACTGCAACCTCCACCTCCCAGGTTCAAGCAATTATCCTGCCTTAGCCTCCCTAGTAGCTAGGATTACAGGCACCTGCCACACGTCCAGCTTATTTTTTGTATTTTTAGTAGAGACAGGGTTTCACCATGTTGCCCAGGACGGTCTTGAACTCCTAACCTCAGGTGATCCACCCGCCTCGGCCTCCCAAAGTGCTGGGATTACAGGTGTGAGCCACTGCACCTGGCCTTGTTCAGGTTTTTTCTTGTGAGAATGGAATGACAACTTCCAAGTTCCTTACGTGACAGACCAAAAACCAGATGGCCAACAAAACTTACTGAGTCACGTACTTCTGTAACTGTCAGTGTAACGCTCTGACTTTAAAGGAGGAGACCTAAAGGGAAGGGAGTTTCTAGCCTGCCAGTGTTTTTCAGTACACAAATACTCAGGCTCACTCGTACGCATTAGAAAATTCCATGAAGGAGTTAGCTGGTTGTTTGGGTTTTTGGATTTTTTTTTTTCTGTGTGTGTGTGTTTTGAGACAAGGTCTCACTTTGTCACCCAGGCTGGAGTGCAGTGACACAACCATGACTCACTGCAGCCTTAACCTCCCTGAGCTCAGATGATCCTCCCACAGTATCCTCCCAAGTAGCTGGGACCACAGGCATGTGCCACCACACCCAGCTAATTTTTTTCTTTTTTGTAGAGATGGGGTCTCACTATGTTGCCCAGGCTGGCCTAGAATTCCTGGGTTCAAGTGATCCTCCTGCTTCAGTCTCCCAAAGTGCTAGGATTACAGTCGTGAGCCACTGCCTCTGGCCCACACACATTTATAAAGTTTACCATCTTATATGGGCATGGTTTGTGGTTCCCCAAAACAAACACAAAATTAATATCAAAGATCACTGATCACAGATCACCATATCAGATATAATAATAATAAAGTTCAAAATATTGTGGGAATTAACAAAATATGACACACAGACCCTAAGGGAGCATATTCTGTTGGAAAAATGGCACCAGTTGACTTGCTTGATGCAAGGTTCTCACAAAGCTTCAATTTATAAAGACCGAGATACTTGCCAAGCGCAATACAATTGTTTGTTCCAGCAGCCCTAGGAATCCAATACAAGGCAATATGGTTGGGCTACATCTCCACCCAACTCTCATCTTGAACTGTAGTTCTCATAATCCCCACATGTCCTGGGAGGGACCTGGTGAGAGGTAACTGAACCATGGGGTGGTTACCCCCATGCTGCTGTATGCACGATAATGAGTGAGTTCTCACAAGATCTGCTGGTTTTATAAAGAGCTGTCCCCGCTTTGCTCAGCGCTTTTCTCTCAAGCTGCAATGTGAAGAAGGATGTGTTTGCTTTCCCTTTTGCCATGATTGTAAGTTTCCTGATGCCTCCCCAGCCATGAGGAACGGTGAGTCAATTAAACCTCTTTCCTTTATAAACTACCCAGTCTCGGGCAGTTCTTTACAGCAGTGGGAGAACGGTCTAATGCACAAGGGGATGCCAGAGGTTACCCTCCAATTCCTTAGATTTGAGAGTGGTTCCCAGGAGAGGCCTGAAGAATGTACTCTGACCCCTGAAACTAAGTACCTGTGCTTTGAGCAACAAATGGTAGTGTTACCACCATCCCAGGAGGGACATTCCTTGGTGTCACCTTAAGGGAGGGAGTCTGGTGCTTTAAGCTCATGGCACTCAGCTAAAGGGACAAGTGGCCCAAGCCCAGGGCTGGTCATGGGAGGCACCCTGTGCCCTCTGCCTGTTCTATAGAGACCAACTGTCCGCTAGCCAAAATGTAGGGGTTTTGTTGGGATGGGAACCATCCTGGGCCAAAGGGTTCCTTTAGATTAGCCATTTCCTGTCCTGGACCCAACATCCTGCCAGCTCCTCCAGGACTAGAGGAGGAGCTGGATTTCATCCTACCAGGACCCCACTCTGCTGCCTTCCGACCGCTGACTTAAAAACCAATGGTTGCAGGCCGGGCGCGGTGGCTCACGCCTGTAATCCCAGCACTTTGGGAGGCCGAGGCGGGTAAATCACAAGGTCAAGAGATCGAGACCATCCTGGTCAACATGGTGAAACCCTGTCTCTACTAAAAATACAAAAAATTAGCTGGGCACGGTGGCACATGCCTGTAATCCCAGCTACTCAGGAGGCTGAGGCAGAAGAATTGCCTGAACCCAGGAGGCGGAGGTTGCAGTGAGCCAAGATCGCGCCATTGCACTCCAGCCTGGGTAACAAGAGTGAAACTCCATCTCAAAAAAAAAAAAAACAATGGTTGCCTGGTAGGTCAATTCTCTCTGACACTCTCCCCTACATCAGACTCTGTCTATCATATCAATCTTTTTTCCTAACATGACAACATCCTAAGTCCTGCCTTCATCATCTCACCAGATAATGGTGACCAGAGTAGCTCGGACCACAGGTGCGCACCACCATGCCCAGCTAGTTTTTGTATTTTTTGTAGAGATGTGGTTTCACAATGTTGCCCAGGCTTGTCTCAAACTCCTGGGCTCAATGGATCCTCCTGCCGCAGCCTCCCAGTGCTGGGATTATAAATGTGAGCCACCTGGTTGAGAATATCAATAATGCAATCATTTCTAATTTACTAGGACTCACTCTGTCCCAATACTTTTGTCACTGGATCCCTTCAACAGTTCTGTAAAGCAAGTGCTATCCTTACCCTCATTAATAGGTGAGGCAATTCCTATCATGCCAAAATATCAACATTTGTACTGAGCTCCTGCAGGCCTTATAGTAGACTGTACACCTGGTGCCAGCACAGCATAGAAACTCAGGAGAAACAGAGCCCAGCTGCGGCCCTCTTCTCTCCCCTGCCCCAAGCTTGGCCCCTTGCCTTCTCTGGGCACTGCCAGTTCTCAGGAAAGGCAGTGCCCTTTGTGTGCCCAGAGCACTGGCCCCACGGGGGGCAAGGAGCTGGGTGGTACCTGGGCTGGACACGGATATGCTTAAACGGTCTTGCAGCCTTGAGGCTAGTACTGGAAACCAGGAGTGGCTTCCACTGCAGGGGACTGGCAGTGCCCAGGAGTGGCTTCCACTGCAGGGGACTGGCAGTGCACTGGGGGCATGTGTGCCCAGGTAAGACTGGCACAGGAGGGAATGCTATATTGCACCCTCCACGGGGTAGGTCCGTTCTACTATCACACCCACAATCAGGCCCTAAGTAGACACCCACGGAGGAGGGCAGTGAGTGAGAAATAGGGAAAGGATTAGAACACAGGCTTTGATGTCCTTGGCTGCTGTGTGAACTGAGGCAAGCCACTTTACCTCTCTGAACATCAATTTCTCTATGTATGAAACAGATAATAATAATCCATGGAGGCTGGGCATGGTGGCTCACACCTGTAATCCCAGCATTTTGGGAGGCTGAGGTGAGTAGATTGCTTAAGTTCAGGAGTTCAAGACCAGTCAAGGTAACATAACAAGACCCTTTCTCCACAAAAAAAGGAAAAAACCCCAAATATGAGTGTTTGCACCCGAGCGTGTGCACACATCTCCGTTTCTGTGTCTATGAGCTTATGGGTGTGGTGAAGGCAGTTTCCAGGAACTTGGGAGGGAGGGTGGGATGGAGAAGCCCTGGAGGGGTCTGAGCCAAGGGCAGGAAGGGTACAGAGGGCCACGTGGGCTGCCTAAACCCAACAACTTGGCCAGGTTGATTGGAAGCAACCTTGGGGCTTGTGGATGTGTTGTTCCCGAGTTTACCAGCAGGGGGCGCAAGAAGACCACCCACCCACCCACCTCCCCTCCTCGAGGCTTTGGGCTCCCTGGCGCTAGTCACAGGGCAACTTCTCGGCCCTGGGAGGGGACTCCTCACTTCACAGAGGAGGCCCATGGCAGGGAGGGTGCTGGTCCAGGTCCCCACTTAAGGCAGGACCCCTGATCTCCCAGGCACACCTCTCTCCAATGCCCTGCACCTCAACCCTTTTCTAGGAAGCAGGCCTTCTCTAGTCAGACCCTCAACAGCCCTGGCAGTGACCTTTCATTCACTGCACTCCTTCCTGTGCTAGGTGCCCCACGGAGCCCTACAAGTCCCATCACTTAAAAGTGCTTTTCATTTTACAAATCTTGGTAACATACACATATCATAAACATTACCATCTTAACCAGGTATACAGTTTTTAGAATTGTTTTCATCTTGTAAAACTGAAACTCTGACCCATTAAGCAATTACATCCTTTTACTCTCTGACCCATAGCTCAGCCCATTTGCCTTCTCTGATTTTGACTATTTGAAGTCAGCTCCCATCACTTAAAAAAAAATTTTTTTAATCCTCTCTCTTTTTTTTAGGTTCCCATCCTTCCCCCCAACTCCCAACAATTTTATTATTTATTTATTTATTTATTTTTTGAGACGAAGTTTCGCTGTTGTTACCCAGGCTGGAGTGCAATGGCGCGATCTCGGCTCACTGCAACCTCCGCCTTCTGGATTCAAGCAATTCTCCTGCCTCAGCCTCCCGAATAGCTGGGACTACAGGTGTGCACCACCATGCCCAGCTAATTTTTGTATTTTTAGTAGAGACGTGGTTTCACCTTGTTGGCCAGTATGGTCTTGATCTCTTGACCTCATGATCCTCCCGCCTCGGCCTCCCAAAGTGCTGGGATTATAGGTGTGAGCCACCACGCGCAGCCTTGTTTATTTATTTTTAAACAAAGTCTTGATCTGTTACCCAGGCTGGAGTGCAGTGTCGAGATCTCAACTCACTGCAACCTCCACTTCCCAGGTTCAAGTGATTCTTGTGACTCAGCCTCCTGTAGCTGGGACTATAGGCAGGCACCACCATACCCAACTAATTTTTGTATTTTTCATAGAGATGGGGTTTCACTGTGTTGGCCAGGCCTGACCTCATGATCCGCCCACCTGGGCCTCCCAAAGTGCTGGGATTACAAGTGTGAGTCACCACGCCCAGCCCACTTTTAATCCTACAAGAAAGTTTCCTTCGAGAGGCAAAGTGGCCAGGTACAGTGGTTTACCCTGCAAGGGAGGCCAAGGAAGGAGGATCGCTTGAGCCCAGTAGCTCGAGACCAGCCTGGGCAACATAGTGAGACCCTGTCTCTACAAAAAGTTAAAAATTATCTGGGAGTGGTGGTGCACACCTGTAGTCCCAGCTACTCAGGAGGCTGAGGTGGGAGAATTGCTTGAGCCTGGGAGGTTGAGGCTGCAGTGAGCCATGATCGCTGCAGTGAGCCATGATCGCTCCACTGCACTCTAGCCTGAGTGACAGGGCAAGACCATGCCCCTCCCCAACCACCACCCCCAAAAAAGGCTAAGGCACACATCCAAGGCCACAGCTAACAAGTAGCAAAGCCAATATTTGAACTCAGGGCTCAGACTTCAAAGCCTGTACTCTCTGCCACTGTGGGACAAGGGAGGCTCTGTGCAGAGACAAATGGCTCCTCAGGCCAGAGACTCCTACCTTCCAAAAGCCAAAGCAGCACAGACTGGTGGACGCTCAGTGGGAAAGGAGAGAGTCTGGCCCAGCTGCTCACATTTTCTTGATGGGGATACCGATAAGCAAGGACAGGGAACTGACCCACCCAGATTTCCCAGGACCAGGTCAGGGAAGTCTCACAGGGAAGTCCCAGTCCTGACATTTTTCTCATCCTAATAGGCTGGCTCTTCCCATGGGTGTTATGCACCTGGCACAGAGTAGCTGCTCAATAAACCTGTAGAATGAGAATGAATGTCTATTGCTTGCACCAGACTGTAAGCTTTGTTAGAACAAAGATTCTCTTCTGGCTGGGCGCGGTGGCTCACGCTTGTAATCCCAGCACTTTGGGAGGCCGAGGCAGGTGGATCACAAGGTCAAGAGATCGAGACCATCCTGGTAAACACGGTGAAACCCCGTCTCTACTAAAAATACAAAAATTAGCTGGGCATGGTGGCAGGTGCCTACTTGGAAGGCTGAAGTGAGATAATTGCTTGAAAACAGGAGGCGGAGGTTGCAGTGAGCCTAGATCTCACCACTGCACTCCAGCTTGGGCAACAAGATAGAAACTCCATCTAAAGAAAGAAAAGAAAGAGAAAGAAAATAGTCACTGGGCTCAAGCCTGTAATCCCAGCACCTCGTCTGACCTAGCCCACTGATTTTTTTTTCCTTTTTTTCTTTGGTGAGACAGTGTCTCATTCTGTTGCCCAGGCTGGTGTACAGTGGTGCAGTCATGGCTCACTGCAGCCTCAACATCCTCAGTTCAGGTGATTCTCTTACCTCAGTCTCCCAAGTGGATGGAATTTTTTTTTTCTTTGTTTTGAGACAGGGTCTCACTCTGTCACCGAGGATGGAGTGCAGTGGTGTGATCACGGCTCACTATGGCCTTGTTCTCCCAGGGTCAAGACTTCCCGAGTAGCTGGGACTATAGGCACATGCCACAATGCCTGGCTAATTTTTATTTTTATTTTGTAGAGATGGAGGTCTCACTATGTTGCCCAGGCTGGTCTCAAACTTCTGAACTCAAGCAATCTTCAAGCCTTGGCCTCCCAAAGTTCTGGGATTACATGTGTGAGCCACTGTACCCAGCCTGATAACATTCTTGATATATATATTTTTTTAATTGTACTTTAAGTTCTGGGGGTACATGTACAGATTTTTTTTTTTTTTCAGTGCTCAGCCCTGTATTGGAGATTCTGCCTCCTTTGGGGCAGATGTCCATGCTGCCTGCGACTCCTGAGCATGCTCCCATGGCGGGTGGCGTGCTCTGGGTGGGTGTGCAGCAGTGGCCTGTCAGGGTGTAGGGATAGGGTCTTGGTGAACTTCTGTTTGTGTGGGGATGCTCCTGAAGTGGTGTTGATCCCAGGACTCAGGGCCCCTTCCTCCTCGGGGAGCAGCCCAGGAACGGGGCCTTTCCTCGGTGCCTCCGGGTCCTACCCTCCAACCCATGTTCCCAGAAGGTGGTCTTTCCTTGGAGGGGTCAGAGACTCCAGCCCAGGGCTCTGGGGTCATGGTGGGAACACCTGCCTCAGCCCAGCACATGCTTCTCCTGGCCTGTTTCCTCCATGGGAGCTGGGACCCTAGCCCCTCAAAGGGGGGGATCCCTGAGCGAGGGTCATGGGCAAGGAGCTGGTATGGATGAGTGTGTGTGGGGAGGGGTGACTGGCAGGGGCTGGGGTGTCAGGAGGCTGGGTGGACTAATCGTCTTTGTCCTGGGCACCATGTTTGATGATGCGGGTGAACTCCACATGGTTGAAGTTGCCTTTCTTGTCAGTGGGTGCCTCCCGGTACATCTCGTCCATTTCCTCATCTATGAAGCGATCACCCATGGTGGTCAGCAGCTCCAGGAGGTGGTCCTCATGGATGAAACCTGAGGCTTATTCGGCGAAGCGGGCAAAGGCATTGCAGATCACGTCCTCGGGGTCTGTGCCATTGAGCTTCTCCCCAAACATGGTGAGGAACATGGTGAAGTTGATGGGCCCTGGGGCCTCGATCATCATGCCCTCCAGGTATTCGTCTGTAGGGTTCTTCCCCAGCGAGGCCAGCATGTCGTGCAGGTCCTCCTTGTCACTGAAGCCATCACGGTTCTGGTTGATCATGTTGAAAGCCTCCTTAGCTGGGCGCGGTGGCTCATGCCTGTAATCCCAGCACTTTGGGAGGCTGAGGCGGGTGGATCACGAGATCAAGAGATGGAGACCATCCTGGTCAACATGGTGAAACCCCGTCTCTTTTTGTATTTTTGTATTTTGTAAAAATACAAAAAAAAAAAATTAGCTGGGCGTGGTGGCGCATGCCTATAATCCCAGCTACTCAGGAGGCTGAGGCAGGAGAATTGCCTGAACCCAGGAGGCGGAGGTTGCGGTGAGCTGAGATCGCACCATTGCACTCCAGCCTGGGTAACAAGAGCAAAACTCCGTCTCAAAAAAAAAAAAAGCCTCCTTAAACTCCTGGATTTGGGACTGATCAGACATTGCGAAGACATTGGATGTGGCCCACTGTGGCCGCTTCTTGGTGGTCTTGGCTTTGGCCCGCTTGCTGGACACCTTGGCTTCAGGTGGGTGGGGCTTCCCTGGTCCCTGGTACAGAGAAGGTGCTCGGGCTCGCTGGATCACATGTGCAGATCTTGCAGGACTGTTGCATAGGTACACACATGCCATGGTGGTTTGCTGTCTCCATCTCCCCGTCACCTACATCAGGCATTTCTCCCAATGTTAATCCTCCCCAACCTCTCCATCCCCTTGCTGCCCCTGCCCTAGCTCCCCACCCCTCAACAAGCCCCAGTTTGTGATGTTCTCTTCCCTGTGCCTATGTGTTCTCATTGTTCAACACCTGCCTATGAGTAAGAACATGCAGTGTTTGGTTTTCTGCTCTTGTGTCAGTTTGCTAAGAATGATGGTTTCCAGATTCATCCACATCGCTAATGTTCTTTTTTTTTTTTTTTTTTCTTTTTGAGACAGCATCTCACCCTGTTGCCCAGGCTGGAGTGAAGTGCCACGATCTTGGCTCACTGCAACCTCTGCCTCCTGGGTTCAAGTGATTCTCCTGCTTCAGCCTCCTGAGTAGCTGGGATTACAGGCATTCACCACCACACACAGCTAATTTTTGTATTTTTAGTAGAGACAGGGTTTTGCCATGTTGGCCAGGCTGGTCTCAAACTACTGACATCAGGTGATCTGCCTGCCTCAGCCTCCCAAAGTGCTGGAATTACAGGCGTGAGCCACTGTGCCTGTCTGATAATGTTCTTTGATACACAAAACTTTTTAATTTTTATGAAGTCCAGATATAGAATTACCTTGCAACCTAGCAATTTCCCTCCTAGGTATACACCCAAAAGAACTGAAAGCATCTCCACACAGAAACACGAATGTTTATATCAACAGTCAAAAGGTGAAAAAAATCTGAACTGTCCATCAATGGATGAATGGATAAATTGTGACATATCTATACAATGGAATATTATTCAGCCACAAAAGGGAATGAAACATGTACCGATACATGCTGTAACTTAGATGAACCTCAATATATATATTAAGTGAGGCCGGGTGACATGGCCTGTAATCCCAGCACGTCAGAAGGCTGAAATGGGAGGATCACTGATCGAAACCAGCCTGGGAAACATGGCAAAACCTGGTCTCTACAAAAACTACAAAAATTAGCCAGGCATGACAATGCGTGCCTGTAGTTCGCTTGAGGCCCAGGAAGTGGAGATTGCAGTGAGCTGGGATCGTGCCACTGCACTCCAGTCTTGGTGACCCTGTCTCAAGCAAGCAAACAAACAGAACACAACACACTAAGTGAAAGAAGCCAGACACAAAAGGTCACATAGGTAGAATTCCTTTTCTTTTTTTTTTTTGAGATGGAGTCTTGCTCTGTTACCCAGGCTGGAGTGCAGTGGTGCAATCTCGGCTCACTGCAACCTCCCCCTCCCAGCTTCAAGCAATTCTCCTGCCTCTGCCTCTCAAGTAGCTGGGACTACAGGTGTGTGCCACCATGCCCAGCTAATGTTTTGCATTTTTGGTAGAGACGGGGTTACCATACCTGGCCTATGATTCCTTTTCTATTAAATATCCAGAGTAACAAGTGTACAGAGACAGAAAGCAGATGAGTGGTAACCAGAGGATGGGGAGGAGGGAAAGGGGAGTGATTATTTGAAGAGTACGGAGTGTTTTCCTGAGGGATTAAGAACGGTTTGAAAATACAGTGACATAATGTTTGCACAACATTGTGAATGCACTAAATGCCGCTGAATTGTACACCTTAAAACAGTTATTTGTATGTTAGGTGAATTTTACCTCAATTCCAAAGAAAAAGTATTTTTAGAAAATGCTTTTTAAAAAAGTAAAAAAGACTGGTAATTTTTAATAAGACAAGTTGAAGAACAATGTAATCCCATAACTCCATTTACATGTTTTAAATTGTAGAGACAGGCTGGCCATGGTGACTCACGCCTGTAATCCCAGCACTTCAGGAAGCCGAGTCGGGTGGATTGCTTGAGCTCAGGAGTTCAAGACCACCCTGGGCAATATGGTGAAATCTCATCTCTACAAAAAATACAAAAAATTAGCTGACTATGGTGGCACAGGTCTGTAGTCCCAGCTACTTGGGAAGCTGAGTTGGGAGGATTGCTTGAGCCCAGGAGGCTGAGGATGCAGTGAGCCAAGATCATGCTGCTGTACTCCAGCTTGGGAGACAGAGTGAGACCTTATCTTAAAACAAAACAAAAACAAACAAATGAAAACGCAGGATGAAGAACAACATAACTTCATGTGCATTTTTTTAAATTGCAGAGAAAGCTGGACGTGGTGGCTCACACCTGTAATCCCAGCACTTTGAGAGGCCAACGCAGGATTTCCGGACCAGCCTGGGCAACATAGCAAGACCTTGTCTCTACAAATAATTTTTTAAAAGTTAGCTTGGTGTGGTGGCATATGCCTGTGGTCCCAGCTACTTGGAAGGCTCAGCTGGGAGTATCACCTGAGCCCAGGCGGTCAAGGCTGCAGTGAGCCACGATCACGCTGCTGCACTCCAGCCTGCGTGACAGAGTGAGATCCTGTCTCAAGAAATAAATAAACAAAATAAATTGTGGATAGATACATATGTGAGAATGCATACATATACATACACATACACATACACACACACACATACACATACACATACATATACACATACACATATATATTCAGGTAGTCTTTACTTTCCATAGTAGTGTGGGACTATAAAAATGGCCATGCTGAGGCCAGGCATGGTGACTCACGCCTGTAATCCCAGCACTTTGGGAGGCCGAGGTGGGCAGATCATTTGAGGTCAGGAGTTTGAGACCAGGCTGGCCAACATGGTGAAATCCCATCTCTACTAAAATTACCAAAGAATTTAGCTGGGTGTGGTGGCAGGCGCCTGTAATCCCATCCCAGCTACTTGGGAGGCTAAGGCAGGAGAATTGCTTGAGCCCAGGAGGCAGAGCTTAGTGAGTGGCACTGCACTCCAGTCTGGGTGACAGAGCGAGACTCTGTCTCAAAAAGAAAAAAAAATTAAAAATAAATACAAATACAAAAGATTTGCTGAGCGTGGTGATGCACACCTGTAATCCCAGCCACACGGGAGGCTCAGGCAGGAGAATCACTTCAACCTGGCAGGTGGAGGTTGCAGTGAGCAGAGATCACATCACTGCACTCCAGACTAGGTGACAGAGCAAATCTCTGTCTCAAAAAAAAAAAAAAGAATAGTCTGAACTGAACAGTGCTGCAGTCTTCCAGTGGTTTAATTTATGATACAGAATAAGCATTTCTTCTATGTTTGTTCTGAAGGCTGAAGTGCCATGGCATGATCTTGGATCACTGCAGCCTCAACCTACTGGGCTCAGGAAATCCTCCCATCTCATCCTCCTGAGTAGCTGAGACAGTAAGTACAAACCACCATGCTTTGCTATTTATTTTTATATTTTTTGTAGAGATGGGGGTCTCACTATGTTGCTCAGGCTGGTGTTGAACTTCTGGCATCAAATTATTGTCCTGCCTTAGCCTCCCAAAGCACTGAGGTTACAGGTGGGAGCCACTGCATCTGGCATCTTCTGTGTCTTAGTGAATACAAGTCATCCTTAGTCATCCTTTGTGCTTTTAGTGTTGTAAAATACCTCTGAGAGTTCCTTTTTTGTGTGTGTGAGATAGTCTTGTTCTGTCAGCCAGGCTGGAGTGCAGTGGTACAATCTTGGCTCACTATAACCTCTGCCTCCTGGGTTCAAGGGATTCTCCTGACTCAGCCTCTTGAGTATCTGGGATTACAGGCATGCACCACCATGCCCGGCTAATTTTGTATTTTTAGAAGAGAAGGGGTTTTTCCATGTTGGTCAGGCTGCTCTCGAACTCCTGACCTCAGGTGATCCACCCGCCTTGGCCTCCCAAAGTCCTAAGATTACAGGCATGAGCCACCACACCCAGCCCAGGGATGCAGTTTCACCATGTTGGCCAGGCTGGTCTGGAACTCCTGACCTCAAGTAATCCGCCCACCTCGGCCTCCCAAAGTGTTGGGATTACAGGCATGAGCCATTGTGCCTGGCCTAGGGAGTTCCTTTAATTTTTTTTTTTTTTTTGAGACAATTTCGCTGTTGTTACCCAGGCTGGAGTGCAATGGCGCGATCTCGGCTCACCACAACCTCCGCCTCCTGGGTTCAGGCATTCTCCTGCCTCAGCCTCCTGAGTAGCTGGGATTACAGGCATGCGCCACCATGCCCAGCTAATTTTTTGTATTTTTAGTAGAGACGGGGTTTCACCAGGTTGACTAGGATGGTCTCGATCTCTTGACCTCGTGATCCACCCGCCTCGGCCTCCCAAAGTGCTAGGATTACAGGCTTGAGCCACCGCGCCCGGCCTGGCAGTTCCTTTAATTTAAGCCAAGTTTTTGCTGATGTTATTTCCTCTGGGTCATCATCTTTTTCTTTAGAACCACCTTCCTCATTTATGTTGGTAAGTTTGCCTTCATGAAGTTTCTCTGGCAGCAGATCTCAAGTTTCCCAAACAGTGAACAGCTATTGACATCCCCACAGCTAACTATTTCTTCCATTATTCCATTTATGATCCATTTGTTTGTTTGTTTTTTGGTTTTTGGTTTTGAGATGAGTCTTGTTCTGTTGCCCAAGCTGGAGTGCAGTGGCGTGATCTTGGCTCACTGATGAGGTGGTTCACACCTGTAATCCCAGCACTTTGGGAAGCGGAGGTGGGAGGATCACCTGAGGTCAGGAGTTTGAGAACAGCCTGGCCAACATGGCAAAACCCTGTCTCTACTAAAAATACAAAAATTAGCTGGGCGTGGTGGTGGGCACCTGTAATCTCAGCTATTCAGGAGGCTGAGGCAGGAGAATTGCTTGAACCTGGAAGACAGAGTTTACTGTAAGCCAAGATTGTGCCACTACACTCCAGCCTGGGTGACAGAGCAAGACTCCATCTCAAGGAAAAAAAAAAAAATCTGTGGGAGAATTGCTGCAGTGGAGGTAACTCAGATGCTCTGGCAGCACCAAGGAGGCCCAGCACCACCAGGGCTGTGGACCATTCGTGTGCCTGAGACCCTTCTGGGGGAGCTCCCAGGTATCTAAGAGCTGAGGCCTCCCTGCTGTCAGGCCAGGCAGGCCAGGGGCTGAGGGCCAGTGGCCTGTGCCCTCCTCTGACACACACCTCCATCAGCCTGGGCAGCTACTGGCCATTTGCTTGACCTGAAGGCAGTGAATGACCCCTGGGCACCGGGAATGGGTCAGTGATGCATTCCAGGGGCTGATGTCAATAACCCAGGGGCTGATGTCAGGTATGCCACTGTCCCCCAACTCCCACTGGACCAGCTCTGCCCAGCAGCCTGTGGTAATGCTGGACAAAGTCCAAAGCCTCCTCAGTCTGGCCTTTGGAGCTGGCCTGAATCCAGGCTTGGTAGCCTCCACCTTCCCTCCTTTACTCTTTTTTTAGAGATAGGGTCTTGCTTTGTCACCCAGAAGCCTCAAACTCCTGAGCTCAAGTGATCCTCCTGCCTAAGCCTTCTGAGTAGCTGGAACTCTAGGGTGAATGCCACCACCCCTAGCTCTCAAATCCTTTGCTTTTTTTTTTTTTTTTGAGACGGAGTTTCGCTCTTGTTACCCAGGCTGGAGTGCAATGGCGCGATCTCGGCTCACTGCAACCTCCGCCTCCTGGGTTCAGGCAATTCTCCTGCCTCAGCCTCCTGAGTAGCTGGGATTACAGGCACGCGCCACCATGCCCAGCTAATTTTTTTATCTTTAGTAGAGACGGGGTTTCACCATGTTGACCAGGATGGTCTCGATATCTTGACCTCGTGATCCACCCACCTCAGCCTCCCAAAGTGCTGTGATTACAGGCTTGAGCCACCGAGCCCGGCCTTTTTTTTTTTTTTTTTTTTTTTTTTTTTTTTTTTTTAAGATATGGGGTCTCCGTATGTTGCCCAGACTGGACTTGAACTCATGGGCTCAAGTTTCAGCCTCCTAAAGTGCTGGGATTATAGGTTGGATTACAGGCATGAGCCACTTTGTCCAGTCATCCTCTGTTTTTGTTTTCTGAGACAGAGTCTCTCTCTGTTACTCTGTCACCCAGGCTGGAGAGCAATTGCACAATCTAGGCTCACTGCAACCTCCACTTCCCAGGTTCAAGTGATTCTCCTGCGTCAGTCTCCCAAGTAGCTGGGATTACAGGTGCACACCACCATGGCCGGCTAATTTTTTTTTTTTTTTTTTTTTTTGAGATGGAGTCTCACTCTGTCACCTAGGCTTGAGTGTAATGACATGATCTTGGCTCACTGCAACCTCTGCCTCCTGGGTTCAAGTGATTCTCCTGCCTCAGCCTTCCAAGTAGCTGGGATTATAGGCACCTATCATCATGCCTGGCTAATTTTTGTATTTCTGTAGAGACGGGGTTTCACCATGTTGGCCAGGCTGGTCCTAAACTCCTGATCACAGGTGATCTGCCTACCTCAGCCTCCCAAAGTGCTGGGATTACAGGTGTAAGCCATCACACCCAGCCTGCTTTTGAATAGATGTTGCCCACCTTCACTCAAGTTGTTTCCCCTGCCTAGCATATCCTTCAATCCAAAACCCCTGGCAGGGCTTGGCTCCACCTGTGTCTCCTCTCCGAAGCTTCAGTATCCACCCAGGCCCTTTGCTGAACTCAGAGAGCACCTACCTGTGCCTGACACCCCCCAACCCTGTGCTAAATTCTCTAATCCTCACCACAGCTGATTAGGATGGTATTATTGCCTCTATTTTCCTCAAGAGGAGAACAAGGAAAGCTCACTCCACCTAGAGTGCTCCAGCTGTGATTGAAACCCTGGCTTGCCTATTTCCAAAGTCCCAATTCTGTCCCCTGAAATCTTCTCTCAGGAGGTGGGTGCTGTGGCTGACCACCAACCCCTTGGGGACAGAAGCCATGCCTTGTCCAACTCCATCTTGCATGGCTGCTTCCAATGGCAGGCACGGTGACCCTGGCTTCCCAGGCTGGCCCCATGCCACATCACTCAAGTAAATGACAAGATTTGGTTCTGGAGCTTCTCAATAGGGGCACACTTAGAATTGGAGGTGAGTCAGCTCTTTACTGAGGAGAGCTATCCAGAGCCTTGAAGGATATTTAGCATCCCTGGGCTTAAAATGCCAGGAGACTCCCAGTTACTGGCACAACACACATCATGGCACCTCTAGAGAAGGGGTACAGGACAGGTGATACTATGCCCAGGAAGACCAGTCTACTACATGAACAACCACAGAAAACCAAAGCTTGGACTTGGATCAGATGGTCCCAGCTCCACCATAAACTGGCTATGGGACCTTGATCATGCCAGAGCGTGGAAGCTTGGAGGCTCAGCTTTCTCATCTGTACAATGCGGGTGACAAGTATACCGTGGGTCCTGGCTCATAGCAACCTGTCAATGACAAGTTATTAACTTTTTTTTCTTTTCTTTTCTTTTTTTTTGAGATGGAGTTTCGCTGTTGTTACCCAGACTGGAGAGCAATGGCACGATCTCGGCTCACGGCAACCTCCGCCTCCTGGGTTCAGGCAATTCTCCTGCCTCAGCCTCCTGAATAGCTGGGATTACAGGCACATGCCACAGTGCCCAGCTAATTTTTTTGTGTTTTTAGTAGAAACAGAGTTTCACGATGTTGACCAGGATGGTCTCGATCTCTTGACCTCGTGATCCACCTGTCTCAGCCTCCCAAAGTGCTGGGATTACAGACGTGAGCCACTGTGCCCTGCCCCTAATTTTTTTTGATAGATAAAAACAGTCTCCTGAAGACAAATGTTTGGTGACAATCTGTTGAGTCAATGTTTACCTGGAGAGAATGGCCAGTCTGAGGAGATCTAACAATCACAGCACACACAGTCCCCTTGAGCTTAGGAATTGGCAGAGGAGAGAGAAACCACTTCTGGGAGTCCAGACTGCAGGGTTCAGGCTGGAGGGATTGATGGAAGACCCTGAGTGAGACAAACAGTGGGTATCCTTCCACTTATTCCTCCTGGCACAGGACCCAGGTTCAAAACCACAATCTCACTCAGCTTCGTACATTAAAGGAACCCACAACAGACAGGCAGATAGCCTGGCAGGAACCCTAGAGAAGGTGGCATCAGTTTTATTTTTATTTGTATTTTTGAGACATAGTCTCGCCCTGTTGCCAGGCTGGAGTGCAGTGGCACGATTTCAGCTCACTGCATCCTCTGACACCCTGATTCAAGCGATTCTCCTGCCTCAGCCTCCTGAGTAGCTGGGATTATAGGTATGTGCCACCATGCCCAACTAATTGTATTTTTAGTAGAGACAGGATTTCACCACGTTGGCCAGGATAGTCTCGATGTCCTGACCTCGTAATCCACCCGCCAAGACCTCCCTAAGTGCTGGGATTATAGGTGTGAGCCACCGCGATCCACCAAGAAGGTGGCATCAGTTTACTGGTGGAAAAATTGAGGCTTAGAGAGGGGAAATGACTTACCTAAAGTCCCAAAAAAGCACTAGGAAGCCTCAGCTGCAAGCCAGGGAATGAGGGCATAGATGAGCGTGTTAGAAATTATGCAGGGAATGGGCAGTACCATCCAGGGATGTGGCCCCAGGTCTGTTCTGGCAGGAGTTGTTACAGTGACTGCCTCATGGCTGTGAATGTGCATGTGTTCCTTTATCACCCCTACCTGGATTATAAAATCAGGAACCCTTGTCTTTGGAGCTTGGAGAGGTTAGTTGTGGAGCTCGGGTGTTTGGCACCTAATGGAGGTCTTCTCCAGGAGGAAAGATTCCTGCTGAAGCCAGACTGAATGGGTCTAACCTACATATTCTCCAATTCTGTCGGTCACCCTCAGTTTCCTAGCGGACCCCGAAGCCAACTCCAGGGTAGGAGCCCATCTCTGCTTAAGTCTCCAGCCCCATCATTTCTCCTTCCAGACATCCTACAGTTTCCCATCACATTGAAAGTCCCTTCCTTTCTGACCGCACTGAAGCTAAGCCTCAAGACACTCAGCACAGGGGCACTCAACTCCCAGGACAGGAACTTCACATTTGACCTGCTCTCCATCAGATCCTCAGCCTCTGGCATCTCACCCAGCACACAGTAGGTCCACAAAGCATTAGCACAGATGATCCCAGGAAGCTGAGGGAGAGGCCCAGGAGCCCAACAGCCTTCCTAGGGAGGGAGGGAGACCTGTAGGAGCCCTCTTTGGGCAACTTTCTTAATCACTCTGTGCCTCACTTACTTATCTGTAAAATGAGGCTTATCTGCGTGTAAAATACAAAGTATAATACATGGGAACAGTCACAAGATCTGTCATCTTCATAGAACCTATTATGATCTGAAATTATTTATTGAGTTACTTGTTTTCTGATTTATCTTCCCCTTCTAAAATGTAAGCTCCTGACTACTATCTCCACAATGCCCAGAATAATGACCGAATGAATGCATATTTATCAAAAGAATCAATATTACCAGTGACATTTCAACCCCCCCCCCGCTTTTTTTTTTTTTTTTTGAGATGGAGTCTTGCTCTGTTGCCCAAGGTGGAGTGATCTTGGCTCACTGCAACCTCTGCCTCCTGGGTTCCAGTGAGTCTCCTGCCTCACTCAGCCTCCTTAGTAGCTGGGATTACAGGCACATGCCACCACACCTGGCTAATTTTTATTTTTTAGTAGAGATGGAGTTTCACCATATTGGCCAGGCTGGTCTTGAACTCCTGACCTTGTGATCCGCCGGCCTCAGCCTCCCAAAGTGCTGGGATTACAGGTGTGAGCCATCGCCCCCGACTGATATTTCACCCCCTTTTAGGCTGTTAATTTCCTCCTTATTTCACCCCCTTTTAGGCTGTTAATTTCCTCCTTATTCACCAAGCCTCAAAAATTGGGCTAAAAATCCTCAGTCTGCAACTGTGGTTCTTGTTCATTTTACAGGTGGGAACGTGGAGGCCTATGGAGTACCTGCCAGGCCCACAGTCCACAGGTTGTAGAGGCGCCCAGGCCCTGGACTTTAAGCTTGGGCTCTGACCTTAAACGTTTGCTTCTCACACTACACATCATGTCAATAAATAGTTACTGGATGCCTGTTGTGTGCCAGGCCCAAGACAGTTGTTGCATGACTGACAACAAAAAAGCTTCTCAGTTGCGGGGACAAGCTAGATGATGGGCATGAGTGTAAAATCGCCCATGGCTCAAATTCCAGCTTCTCCACTTCCTGGCTATGATATTGCTAAGTTTCTTAACCTCTGTAAAGTTCTTTTCTCTTCTATTAAAAGGGAAAAATAAGACCTCCCATCAGAAGAGGTGAAACTAGGCATTGGCTTAACATGTGATGTATGGGAGCTGTGACTGTCTTCATCATCTTATTTTATTTTATTTTTTTGAGACGGAGTTTCACTCTTCTTACCCAGGCTGGAGTGCAATGGCGTGATCTCGGCTCACTGCAACCTCCGCCTCCTGGGTTCAGGCAATTCTCCTGCCTCAGCCTCCGGAGTAGCTGGGATTACAGGCACGCGCCACTATGCCCAGCTAATTTTTTGTATATATTTTTTTAGTAGAGACGGGGTTTCACCATGTTGACCAGGATGGTCTCGATCTCTTGACCTCGTGATCCACCCGCGTCGGACTCCCAAAGTGCTGGGATTACAGGCTTGAGCCACCGCGCCCGGCCTCATCATCTTATTTTTAATGATCTATCTGAGCATATGGTAGTAAATTTCTTGCCCTGGCCCAGGTACCCAGGACCCCTGTTCTCCTGTCCCGGGCAACCGCAATTAACAACTTCTTGTGCATCTTATCAGACAGTTGGCGCGCACACCCGCAGATACCCCCATCCTCACGCGTCCTTCTAGGCAAACGATAGCACCCATCAACGCTGTTTTTTCTGTTCCTTCCTTTTTTCACCTAAGGTATCTTAGAAATCACCCTACATTAGTGCATATTGAACATTTTCCGTCTTAAATGGCTGCACAATATTCCATTGTATGGATTATTTTTTAATTTGGTTGCCGTTACTGTTATTAGCCAAAGAATTTGCGAGGACCCAAGGGGATCCATGGAGCTGCAGAGCTGGAGTCCGGGGATCCAGTTCCAATCCCAGATCTGCCCAGAATTCGCTGTTGCCTCGGGTGTCATCTCCACTGGCGCGATCGTGGGAGGGGCATTTGGGTGCAGGGAGGACCAGCCCCAGTGTCCGAGCGCGGATCAGCGAGCAGCACGCACAGTTGATTCCCGCGGGCGGTTCAATCATTCTGCGCAGCCACTTCTTTACACTAACAGCACCAAACTCATTAAGCACTCTGGCACAACCAAGATCGGAACCGTTAGCAGGCCCTCTCAGCCTCTACACCCAACCTCCGGACAGTGACGCTCCGACACAGCTACTTACCCGCGCCTGGGCCGTTTCACCCCTTGTTCCCAAGTACACCCGATAGGTTGCAGCAGTCCCTTTCCCTTTAAGGGGGCCGAGTCCCGGCTCCGCTACTTCCGCCCCGAAGTAACAGGGCGCAGGCGTAAAGGTGAGAAAGGGTGAAGGCTCAGAGAGATTCCCCTCATAAACATGGCGACGCCCTGGCCGCCGCGTTCGCGCCCGGCGGTGACGTCACTTCCGGGGCGGAGGAGCCTGAGTGGTGCAGTGAGGGACAAACAAAAGGAGGCGCCGGAGCAGCGCTGCGGCCGGCGGCGGGACGAAGCGGCCGGGGCCTAGGGCTGCCTGCTGGGCGGCCGGGCGCGGCGAGCCCAGGTGAGTGGATGGGGTGGGGACAAGGGCGCGAGCTGTCACCTCTCGAAACCCACTTACACACTCCCCCGGCCAGCTGCCCGGCCCCGGGCGCCCGGGGCATCTGGGGCTCTGTCTCGGGGCCGGCCCCCTGGGGGCCTCCCGCGGTGTTCGACCTACCTCCGGACTTCCCGGTGCTCGGGGTCTCCGGGGCCCCACCCTCTCCCCGGCTCCGCGGCGCGCGAGCCCCCTCCCAGGCACCCCTGTACCTCCTTGTGCTCCAGAAACCAGGAGTTTCCGCCTCGGCTCCTCTGTGTCCTCTTGTCATCCCCTGGGTCCCCCCAAATCCTCACCCCTCCACACACACTCTCCCCTTTCTAGAGGTTCCACCTCTGGGCTCTCTCCTTGCCATTTCTTTTTCAAAGATTCCCGTAGCTGTCTTCCCGCTGAGTTCCTGGCCCCCCTCCTCTTCCCTTGCACCCCTCCTTCCTCTTGTTCCAGTGGGGACAGTGCCCTGACTTGGGGGCAAGATCCTCGGTTTGGCTCTTGGGATCTGTCTGGGTTGGAATATCTGGGAAGAATGGTCCGGAATCTAAGACCCCAGACCCTGTCCCAGTCCTTTGCATCCAGGTTGGCCCGAGGGCCAGATCCAGTGAGGTCCGGGCCTGGTCCAGCCCTAGGTGAGCTGGAGACTCAGCAAAGTGGGCTCCCAGGCTGAAGGCGCATAGCTGGTGTTCTTGGAGTTCATGATGATTCTGCTGCTTTCGCCGACTGCTTCTTCCCCTTGATCTGGACTGGAGTGAACCGAGGTCTGCCGGTTCTCAGCTGATAAGGATTGTTGCCTTTTTTGGGAAGAAGAGATGGGTCGGGGGTTGTCTGGTAGCTGCCTCCTGATGGAGATTTGGCTGGAAGGGTGGGTGGTTCCTGGGTGAGCCACACTTCCACTGACTTCTCTTCCCCTGCCCTACCTCAGGAAGCCTTTTGAGAATGAGGTGTGGAGAGAGAGCCCCTGGTGAGAGGAAGGGAATTGGGGGAGCCCCAAGTTCCCTCTTCTACCTCTTCTGTTAGTACTCTTAGCCCCTGTCAAACTGTATTCTGCCCTTTGGAGCAGACAAACTGGCAGACAGACAGACTGGAGGAAGAGGGAGGTGATCGGCTGTTGCTGATACTTCCTGTGGAGGGGAAGGGGCACTGGGAGTTTGTTTGGAGCAACTGGGCAGTGCTGATTGCTCAGTCTCACTGATGTTGCTTCCATGAAAGTCAGGTCTTCCTCTGGCTCATGAAGGGAGGTAAGGACAGATGATGACTTGTGCTGGAGGACCGGCTGTTGTGGACATGCCAGGGATGAGTGATTGGTCTCTGCTTCCTTGTTTTCCTGGTCTCAGGGCTTCTTTGGATGGGGTCTGATGCTCCCCACCTTCTAGGGACCATGGGGTACACAGCAGGGGGTGCAGGAAAGGTTTGTGACTTACCCCATAACTTGACTAGATGAGGTGATTCTCCATCCCTTAGGCACACCCACTAGGAAGCCGTTTCCTTTGCAAACTTTGAGTGGCCTTTCTGGACTTCAGAGGGTCCTGGGGATCACTCCTGTGGGTCAGAACTCAGGCAAGTGGCCAGACCTTGGGTTGCTGCCTGGCTTGGCCTGGACCTTGCCTATAGGAGTTGGAGGGAAATCAGCCTGGTTCCTGACTTCCTCCCCTTAGAGTAGAGGTAATTCCAGGTTTTCACATGGAGAAACTGAGGCACAAACTGATGGGCCAAGACCTCTTGGAGATTCAGGTGGGATGGATGTAGGGCTCTAGAGCCCAACACACCATCTCTCCATGCCTTGACTCATTCATTCATTCATTCATTCAGCCATCCTTTAGAGAGTGCCCATCTTGGACCTGGGGTGGCTGGGAAAACAGCCCTGGCCTCCTGAGAACTGCAGTCTGGGAGGAGAGGCATACCAGAAGGCACATAAGTTCTGATACACTGTGGCCACCATATTACAGAGGCAGCCCAGAGGAAGAAGGAATTAGCTCTAGGTGGTTATGTAGGGGATGGTCAGGGTATGCTTCCTGGAAGAGGAGGGACTAGAATAATCAGTGACAGAGAGTCCAGGGGCTCAAATTCTGGACCTGGCTCTGCCATGGGCAGGTGATTGGACTGCCGAGCCTCAGTGGGTGCCTCATCCTTGACACGGAGGGTAGAGTGAGGCAGAGATTGGCTTGGATGGCCTCTGTGCCTAGATAGCTGTAGGTGCTTTACTACCTAGTTACCACCACCTTGTGTGGAATTGAGGGGTTATTGACCTACCTCACGTGGTGGCAGAGACCATCTTCCACATCTGTCCCCCCAGGACAGGGCCTGGAACTCAGTCAGTGTAGTAAACACCCAATGGTAGAAATGACGGAAACACAGCTATCCCTCCTAGATTGGTCCAGGTGTCTTTGTGTGCCCCTGCCTTCCTCATTCCTGGGTAACTCCTGCCGATGCTTTGGCCCTCTCCGGTGGCTGGGCCACTCTCTCGGCTCCTGGCTCCTGATACCTATGTTGTAGTGATCATACCTCTCTCCCCACCTTGACACTCACACACACTGTTCTGCACAAAGTGCCTGGCACGTATGGAGTAGATGCTCATTGGAGGCTGGCTGGCTGTCAGAGATGATGGGTGGATTTGGTGTTTGAGTTGGAATCTGGGCAGAGGTTGGTCTCAGCTTGTCCCAGCCACCCCACTGTGGCTCATCTCTTGCCACTTCCTCCCTCTGGCTCTGGATCTAGTCATGCCAAGCCCCAAAGCCTTCTCCGGATGCCATATCCTCTCTCCTCCAGGTAAACGTGCTGTTTCTCCTGCCTGGAATGCTTTTTCCAGCTCCTACTCTTAGGAGTCAACTCAGACAACTCCTCCAGAAAGCCTTCTCTGACCCTGCTAGTCGGGGTCTAGTGCTTCCCCTGGCTTCCCTGAGCTCTGAGACTATCACTGCTGACTTGGCACCTCCTCAGTAGACCAGGTTCTGGAGGGAGCTGCTCTGTCAGAACGTTTTTTGTTTGCCGGGCGCGGTGGCTCACATCTGTAAGCCCAGCATTTTGGGAGGCCGAGGCAGGCAGATTGCTGGAGATCAGGAGTTTGAGAGCAGCCTGGCCAATGTGGTGAAACCCCGTCTCTACTAAAAAGAAAAAAATTAGTGGGGCCTCATGGTGCATGCCTGAAATCCCATCTACTCGGGAGGCTGAGGCAGGAGAATCACTTGGACCCGGGAGACAGAGGTTGCAGTGAATCAAGGTTGCACCACTACACTCCAGCGTGTGACTCTTGTCTCAAAAAAATCCTCTTTTGTCACCCCAGAGCCCAGCCAAGGGCCTGGTACCAAGCAGGCTCTCAGCAAGTGCTGGCAGTGCAGCAGGTAACTGCAACAGTCACACATGTGCCTGCTGACGGCAGCTCTCGCTTCCTTACAGGGAGGCAGCGTCCATGGAGCAGAAGGAATGCCAGGACCCTGCCCAGGCCGACGCGGGCCAGCCTCAGCACCGACAGCCGACGCGCAGATAGCAGAGCCGTCCCTGGGGTAAGGACTGGGCCCTGCTCCTTCCAGGCCAGCTCCAGCTCCGGTCAAGTGCCCTTCCCAGCCTTGGGAGCAAAGGGCAACATCTCCGTTCCCACAGTCCTTTGCTCTTCTTGCTGTGGGTACAGGGCAGAGTGGCAGACAGCAGAATTGCCCTCTTTCTCCTTCTCCCGCTGAGTAATGTCTGCTTGCTGCACTCATTGAATGCTGAGTTGTTTCATTGCAAACCTCTGTTTTGTCTCCCTCACCCCAGATCTTATCAGTCCGGGTTGCTAATGCAGCCTCATGACCACGTTTCCCAAAAAGTGTGGACCACATTTCCTAAGTGTGTTCTGTGAGACACCAGTTTCTTTGGTCACAGAGGTTTGGTAATTCTGGGAAACAAAGACTTCTTGTGATCCTTGCCACAGGACTTACCAGAGCCTTGAATGGATTGAGCTTGACCATGATAAGGGAACTAGCGAGTCATGTTTCCCCACACTTATTTGATCATATAGACATCTTTGGGGACTGGGATTTCTTGGCCTGTGCTTTGGAAAACAGTTCCCAGAGGCAGGAGGGTGCACTGGTTAGGAACTGCTGTCAGACCTGGGTTTGAGTCTTGCCTGTCATGTGTTTGCTGAGTGACTGTGGGCCAGTCGTACCTCTCTGAGTCTTGGTTTCCTCATTCTTTTTTTTTTTTTTTTTTGAGATAGAGTCTTGCTTTGTCTCCCAGGCTGGAGTGCAGTGGTGTGATCTTGGCTCATTGCCACCTTTGCTTCCTGGGTTCAAGCGATCCTCCTGCCTCAGCCTCCCAAGTAGCAGGGACTACAGGTGCCCACCACCACGCCTGGCTAATTTTTGTATTTTAAGTAGAGGCAGCGTTTCAGCATATTGGCCAGGCTGGTCTCAAACTCCCGACCTCAGATGATCCACCCGCCTCAGCCTCCCAAAGTGCTGGGATTACAGGTGTGAGCCACTGCAACCAGCCAGTTTCCTCATTCTATAAAAAAGATAATCTTGGCCGGGCATGGTGGTACACGCCTGTAAACCAAGGTGGGTGAATCACCTGAAGTCGGGAGTTGGAGACCAGCCTGACCAACATGGAGAAACCCCAGCTCTACTAAAAATACAAAATTAGTCAGGCATGGTGGTACATGCCTGTAATCCCAGCTACTCAGGAGGCTGAAGTAGGAGAATCACTTAAACCCAGGAGGCGGAGGCTGTGGTGAGCTGAGATTGCAGCACTGTACTCCAGCCTGGGCAATAAGAGTAAAACTCAGTCTCAAAAAAAAAAAAGTTAATCTTAGCACTTACCTCCCTTTAGGACATTTGGAGGATTAAATATGTTGACGTAGAGCAGGCGTTTGGCAGAGCGCATGTCCTGGAAGGCGGTCCCCAGTCCTAGGTGGTGTGTGTATAGACAGCTGTATAATTTGTAAAACACTCAGGTCAGTGATCTCATTTGACCATTGGAGGGTGCTTTGGCAGTGGCCATTATCTCTACTACAGATGAGGAAACTGAGGATCAGAGTGGGGAAACAACTTGCCCAGACTCATCTGTAAAGAAGGCAAGGACATTCGGCTTGAATCCAGACCCTGGAATCCTGGGCCAGGGTCCTTTGTTCTCTGCCCTGAGGTCTTGCCTCTCCCCTCAGTTTTTTTGTGTGAAGGAAGGCCTGGCTCTCCCAGCCTGGATTTTAAAAGAAATAGTGGCCGGGTGTGGTGGCTCATGCCTGTAATCCTAGCACTTTGGGAGGCTGAGGTGGGTGGATCATCTGAGGTCAGGAGTTCAAGAACAGCCTGGCCATCATGGAGAAACCCCATCTTTAAAAAAAAAAAAAAGGAATAGTAAGTTTTTTTTTTTGTAATTACCAACATAGTTGTATATTCATCATATGTTTTTATACTTTTGGATATTTCTGGGGAACAGGGTCTCACTCTGTTGCCCAGGCTGGAGTGCAGTGGCACCATCATGACTCATTGCAGGATCTTCGAGGCTTCAGCGATCCTCCTGCCTCAGCCTCCCAAGTAGCTGGGACTACAGGCGTGCACCACTGCGCCCAGCTAATATTTATTTATTATAGAGATTGAGCCTCTCTACATCGCCCAGGCTGGTCTCAAACTCCTGGGCTCATGAGATCCTCCTACCTGAGCCTCCCAAAGTGCTGGGATTACTGGTGTGAGCCAGGCCTGTTTGGCTTTTTAATGTTATTTAGGAAATGAGTCTCCCCTGATACCCATCTTCAGAGGTGTGAATGGGAAGGGGTACATTCTTCTACATGTTATTACCATTTGCTTATTTTTATAAAAATCTGGTCATGTATGAGTTGCTGATTCTCAGCTCGCTTTTGTTTCATTTAACCATATCCCCTGGATCTCTTTCCCATGTGAGAGGTAGACAGAGCTGTGTGTGGTCCTGGCAGAATGCGCACCCTTGAGCCCCTGGGCCCCTCCCCATCACACGCTGGGTGTTTTGAGCTGTTTGGGCATTTATAGCAGTGGAGGGAGGTGGGAAATACCTGGTGTGTGATTGTGTCAACTCTCCTGTTTATGGGACA